CAACAATATATTGTACACTAGATTCTTTATTCAATCCCGTTGACATGGCGTTAGAAATAATATTATACACTCTTATAACTCTTGAAAAACCCTAAAGGACTGAATGAAGATTGTAGTTTTAAATATATAATAGGCCTAATATTAACGTGTTCTATCGTTCGTTGGATTTCTTTTTGATTATTTGGTAAAAATAATACACAGTCCAGGCTATGTATGTCAACGAATAAATTCATTTCTTCAATAAACGTTTGATACAGCTACGGTTACTTGTAGGCCTAATATCAAAAGTTGGCCCGAAACGTTATGAATATTAAAATAAATATATATTATTTAAAAATTTTTGTGGAACAAGTCCTCCCCTATTTTTTGTTTTGAAAATCAACAGTTTTTGTGAATGAATCCAAAAGTTTTAAAACGGCATAAAAATCACGAAAATGACAGTTGACAATTAGTTTTATCAAGGACTTTATTTGTTGTTTTTCAAAATGTGTCTTCAACAAATAGTACAATAAAGTACAAATTTTCAATACCTTATCTGTTCTAGTTACATTATTTATTACGATTTTACTTTATAAGATCTACATCTAGAACTGATAACCAATACCACTCCAGAATAAACGATTACACAAGACCTTTTGTCATTGGTAAACACCTCTTTTTAAGGTCAAAGCAACACAGAACCTTTGAAACATGCATATGGAAATGCCTGTCTAAATAAAAGTTATATACCCTGGAGTCGTATTTTTGTCATTTCTAGATATATTTTCAAGTACTGAGTTTGTTATGAATTTTAAAACTGCTAAAAGTCTGAGATTTTAAGAAATCAGTTAGAATATTCACAAATATTCTCTTTGTGATTGTAAGTTACAGCATTCTTCCATACAAAAACATGCTTACATATTTTCCCAACTGGTTGAAGAAAATGTATGATTATAACATCTATCTATAAACACTCTTTTATCTTTAAAACATATATATATACTAAATCTTGCACAACATTATGATTTCAATCTAAATTATAGCCACCTATAAATAAACAAAGATAACAAATGAACATTTAATAGATTACTAAACAGATAGCCAAAAAAAAACCTTTGAGTATTCAAATCCTTTCAAAAACACAATTATCAATAAATTCTACAGGGAATTTTCACTTTCTTTTTGCAAAGCATTGTTTGTTCAGTTGTAAATCAGACAAAAAAAAAAAAGAAGAGAGAGAGAGAAAGAAAAATCAGTAAAAAATTTAAGCAAAACATTCACCATTACAATGTAAAAGAAGAATATAAAGCTGTAAAGATAAATGAAGGCAAAGTGTATTTCATTATTATATCTCTATATCACCAGGAAGAAAACAGTTGTGGACATGATAAAGTTTTCTTACATTATTTATTATTAAGAGATGTTATATAAAATTTTTTTGGTAGAACATTTAATAATGCCATTAATCAAGAGATCCTGGCTTACTGACTATGGTTAAAACTACCTAAGTCCTGTATTTAAACCATTTACATTTAAACAGAACAATGAAACAGTTTAACCTTTACATTACAGGAATCAGGCTTCTACTCTATAAAAACAAAAAGAGAAGCTGTCCCAGTTGTTATTTACACAAGTTAAAATGTGTTTCTGTAACTTGTACTATATTTGACTTAAAAGTTTGTGCTGTTTCTTTTAACCCTATTAAAAAAGAATTGTTACTTGAATAAGCACAAGCAAAACACAAGCATAATCAGTATTCATAGTTTCTAGAATATATGCTGTAGAAGAACACAAGCAAACTAAACTTTCTCATCAAGGGTTAAAAAGCGTCTAAATAATGAAAGCATTTGCTGCCTAAGTTATTGTGACAATCAAACAATTGCATCAGGATTTCAACAAATATTAATTTAACTCAATAAAAGGGTTCTCAATAAGGTTATTAAAAAAATTAATAAGCATCATTTCACCTGGTTAGTTGTAGTAACTAACTCTCATTATTCTCTCTCTCTCTAGTAATCTATCATTTAATTTCTAGGAACATGATGGCACTTGAACTGACTTTCATAGGTATTACAATCAATAATATTTTTATGATGATAATAGAGCTTAGGATGCTAATCACCAGTATGTATTCTTTCAAGATAACATTACCTACTGCACCACAGAAGTATTCTGGAATATTATACACAGAGACAAGTAGATGTTTGCCATATATGTAAAGTACAAACAACTCATTTAAGTGTAATTGTAATATTTTCCTAAAAAACTACAAAAAAAAAATAAACTCACATATATATAAGTTTACACAGTGAAACGCTATAAATGTTTAAGCCTGTAACAATGTGAGGAACAATTTAGTTCATAATAAGACCATTCTAAAGCCTGATTGTCAAGCTTACAGAATTCACATAGAAGCTGAAGTTTAAAAAACTTGACATTTGATTGAATTTGTGGAATAGTGTTGTGATTACTATTCAAAATACTCTAATTTCTGCACATAACCACTTTGTATAAGCATATATCCAGTTTACAGTTAAGTTACATTATACAGGAGTTTCCTACCTTTATACACTTTAGAATGGGAAAAATTTCTCCACCATTATCAATCTATAAAGCATAATGTTTAAATCTACATGTAAAATGCTAAAAGAGAAAAACATTTCATTAAATAAAAGTTTATACATTGTTTTTTTAGCATAAATGATCCAAAAAGCATCACACTGTTATCAGCCGTATTGAGCATACACTGTATAATACCTTGTATCATTATCCATCCTTAATAATCATATTCTTTCCTCTAAACAAAAATTTTAAAATAGTTACTTCATTACTGATAATTCTTTAATAATAATTATGGTATATAATTTTCATTATGATGATTTTACTAAGAAAGAAGGAAAAGAAAAACTAATATTGGGATTGCCTTCCCAAAAACAAATATAAAACATCAGCATATAAAATAAGGTATATAAAAAACAAAACAAAAAACACAAGATGTGCTACTTGTCTAAACTCCATTATATAGTTTATTTTAGCAATGACTTTTTGGTGACAAATTATGACATTAAACAAGAAGGAATCAAATTTTTGGCAACAAGACATACATTTACTGACACAAATATGCAAAATATTTATAAATTACGAAAAGACATACATTCAAATTCTTCACAGTATGTTTCTTTGATTTCAACTTTTATAAGTATTATTTCTATTAGACTTTGAAGGTATTAAATAAATTTAAAACATTTCTGCTTATCATGTGGGATTCGAGTTTTAAACAAAACTGAATCTACACGAAATTGAGTGTTGAGCAGAGGTATGTATCCATACACTTGGGCAAAGAAATTAATGCATTTGTGTCTTTCTTGAAAATGAGAGTCTTCCTCAGAAAGGGATATTGGGCAGCCAGGACATCTGAATGTCCATCGAGACGTTACCTACAGTGGCAAAATATATACTTTAGCATTTAAAAAAAAAAGAAAAAATATTATGGATATTAAAATCTTGTTAACTTCACAAGAAGTGACTTAATATCATTAAATATGTGGTCGAGTTTTTGCTATAAATAACTTCTGATCATTTAAAAGAAAAAAGTATTTGATGACCAGTTATTACAGGATCAGTATAAAATTTTCACATTAAGCACACTATTACTAAGTAAAAATGATAATTACTTCACTTTTTTTGTTCAATATAAACACATATTTATAACAGTAAAACTTTTCAGATAGTCAAAAATTACTACTGATGTGAAATAAAAATAAAAACAAACTTACAGTACTGTTTTTCAAAAAAACAAAAATTACTATCTCTGGGGTTTTGAGTAACTCTGGAATCATTAACTTATAGCATCATCATACACACTACTTGAAGAAAGAAAGAGCCACAAAAATGAAATGTGTGTATGAAAAAGGTTACTAATGAATCTTTTTACATTAGATAACTATATGTTTATTCTTGTATGATATTTCCATTCAAACTATGTTACATATATACCTCATTGTATTTGCATACACAAAGTAATCTATATTTTGATAATGTTTTTTAGTGGTTTATACATATGGTGGATTTTACCCCCCTTTAAGTACATGTGACTATTGTGCCATACTACAGTCAACCATTCTGTAAAAAACCTTTATTCGGATATGTCATAAAAATCCTTATTAATATAAGTGAGTGTTAAATACAATGTATTCTCTGTATTGTTTTTAAAAGTCATCTGTAACTAGGCTATATTCACAACTTCACCACTGCTTTCAATATGCAAAATGAAACACTTGCAGCCTTTAAGTTTGCACAGCTAGGCAACATTACATTAGTATGCTAATTTCATGTCTCATGGTAATAAACTGACAAATTATTAAAACTGAATATGTCACTCACCTTTACCGGGGGTTTGCGAGTTACATGTGAGACTAGAAAGTTCATAGCTATATCTTCACAATTCATGTATTCATCCACTTTATCCTTGATGGCCTGGGGCATGAGATGAGTGTACAAATAGGCATAATACTGCAAACAAAGAAAAATGAGCAGGAGTTGTGTGGCTGTACAAAATATTTTGGCTATACAAGTGTATGTGCAATTTTCACATAACATATGGTCAAGAAAGTCATTGAGTTGCTTTCATTCTGGCTACTTTTGTTCTCTATCATTCCCTTGAGATAAAATCTGGTCTACCTGTGGAGGGTATAGCTGTAAAGCTGTAAGTTATGCATGAAGATCAACAGCAGTGTCCTCCATTGGTAGATCAGGTGATATCTTGAGGTTAGAAACTCCTTTATTTTGAAATGGGAATGATCAGTCACATAGGTAGTGCTAATTGTTCTGTATAAGTCTGATGTTACTATTTTAACTAGTAATGTGAGTTTTATGCAGTATGGAACAAAACCTCGAGCAAATAAGTCAGTCAGCCTGGAATAAATATTGAAGAAGTAAGGCCTGTCTAATCAACCTATCTCTATAGTATAACTTCATAATATATCTTACCAAATCTCCAATTATATAGTAGGCTCACCTGATTTATTCTTTAAGGAAATCATTTACACCTTAAAATACTACACATGGATAAGAAAAAAGAAATCTCAAGGCAAAAACTGAAAATGAGCAATATTTTTGTATAGTTATGGCAATATGTATATATATATATATGTTATGAGAAAATTGGTACTACATGTTACATATGCATGTCAGAGTTTGAAACAATGGTCATTATTTAGCAAATGGAGAATGCTTGTTAAATTTAACTGATTTAAATTTTGATAGCTAAAAATCAACTAGGAAATGATACTTTTATGACATAATTTGAATTTGAAATGTTTAATAACATTTACAAGGTTAAAAATGAGTTAAGTATCTCAGTAAAAAACATTGAACCTTCAAAATATAGTGGATATGAAAATATAGCTTAAATGTAGAAAGTGTAAAAGAAGTCATCAGTATATGGGTTTGTCATGATATAAAACACTGTTAGACCAGTACGTGTTAGACCTCAGAAACCAACAGGAGGAGACCTGTCAACTCGCTCAACAGAGTTTGTATGCAAGCTTCTGACTACCTTGAGTTGCATACTGGCACAGTAGGTCTTGTCACTCTTTATTTTGCTTGCCGATCAGTTCTTCGCTGATGTTTACATCTTTGTATGTTTCATCTTCACCTAGTGGTCTTAGGTCTAGTAGATCCTCATCTTCTAAGACAAAGTCACTGTCTTCTGGTTCTGCATCTATGATGGCCACACCTGCAACATCAACCTTTGTTTCAATAGCTGCACATGTTAGGTCTTCTTCTCTCCCAAAATACTTCTTCATTAGATTTGCATGGTAGATCTTGGTCTTCACATTCACCTTGTAGTCCATTCTGTTGAGTACTTCCTGTACTTCAAAAGGTCCTTTCCATTGCAGGGTGAGTTTGTTGTGGTCTGTGGGCAGCAGAACTAAGACCTTTTGTCCAACCTTAAAATGTCAATCTTTGGCCTTTTTCTCATAAAAATAAAATTGGTGAGCTTCCCAACATGTTCTTTAACTTCTGGAATGCCATCTAGTGTGGTTGTTCCCACTTCACCTCGTTGGGCAAGCATTTCTTGGTCAGGTCAGTCAATGGTGCAGTAATTTCAGCATAATTTGGGATGAATTTCCTGTAATATCCCTCTAACTCCAGGAAGGATTTGACCTGCTTCTTGGTCATTGGAGCTGGTGTATCTTGTATGTGGATTATCTTTTCCTTTTCCATGGCTATCTGTTGGTCCCCCACTTTATGTCCAACCAATTCCAGCACAGAATATCTGATGCAGCACTTGGATGGTCTTATGGTGAGGCCTGTTGCCCTCACTCGCTAGAAAAGTTGTCTCAGTCTCTTCCAATGGCCTTCCCATCTTGCAGTGGGTGTGAGAATGTCATCCACATAGTGTTTGATGTTGGTGGTGCAGCATCTTCCTCATCATGCAATTGAATGTTGCTGCTCAATTGACTAACCCAAATGTCATCTGCTTAAATTGGTAACATCCATCTGGTGTCACAAATGCTGTCTTCTCTTTAGATTGCATCTCCATTGGGATTTGCCAATAACCTCTACTGAGGTCGACCTTTGAAAAGAACCTGGCCCCATCTAGTTTTGCCATGATGGCCTCTGGGTTGCCCATAGGTTCAGAGTTGAACTTTGTCACGAGATTCAGCTTCCGGAAGTCTATCTAGAAATGGTTTGATCCATCCTTCTTCTTCAAGATCACAACTGGTGAACCGTAGGCTGAATATGAAGGCTTGATGATTCCAGCTTCCAACATCGCCTCAACTTCCTGCTTTATCAGATCTCTCATTATATAAGGCATCTGATAGGGCTTCACTTTGACTTGATCCCTGAGTGTGGTCTCGATCCTGTGTTGCACAATATCTGTCTTTCCTGGTATATCCAGGAAGATATCCTGAACAATGAATGGTTTGTTGAAGTCTGGCATTCTCTAATGATTCAGACATTGGAATTGGGGTAGTGCTCTTACAATGGAACATGAAGATGGACTGTTTCCAGTAACATATATATAAGTAAAAAAATTGTTAAATAGTGAGAAGAACTACTCCGTGATTGAACGAAAGCGTCTGACCATTATATTTGCCATTCAGAAATTCCAGAAATATCTGTATGGGAAGGAGTTCATCATCCAGACAGACAATCAATCATTTGCATACATTCAAAGGTGCAAGATCGATAGTGCAAAGATCATGAGGTGGGCATTGTACCTCCAGAACTACAGGTTCCGCATTGAAGCTATCAAAGGACTGCAAATGAGTGAGCAAACTGTATGAGTAGACTTTGCGTATGAACTAAGAACAGTCTTTGATATAATAATAAAAAAATTAATATTTTATCTTGAAGAGGAGTTATGTCATGATATAAAGACTGTTTGGTTTAGATATTAGAGATTAATTTA